AATATTGGAAGACTGCTATCATGTCTCCCTTAGTCCTTCTTTTCATTAAACTAGACCTACCCAGTTCCTGCAACCGTTCTTCGTATGTTTTAGCCTCCAGTCCCCTCATCCTCTTTGTTGCTCTTCTCTGCACTCTTTCCAGAGTCTCCACATCTTTTCTACATCGTGGCGACCAAAACTGAATGAAGCATTCCAAGTGTGGCCTTCCCAAGGCCATCCATGTAAAAACTGGACAGCGTTCCCTCAACAGAGGGGGAAGGATACGACACCATCCATCTCCTGTTTACAACACAGTCCTTTCAAAGGGATGTCCATTTGTACCATTCAGCTGACCCTGAGGACACAGACTGGCCTCAAGGACTCTCAGAAAGAGGACAGACGACCAGAGGACTGCAAAGAATATAAATCCTTCCATCCGCCACTATTCAGTCAGAACTGAAGAAGCCCCTTGGATGAAAATGCAACATTTTCACAGAAGACGTCAAGAAAATCCGATTGCCTTTCGGGGGGCATCTTTGAGGCCCCCGTGCCCCGTTTCCTCCTGTGAAACCACCGGGAGCTGCCCCAACCCAAGTGAATCCTCCTGACGGGGTGGTTTCATGTCTCTGGAGGGTCCCCAGTCAAGCCCCGAAGCCCTGGAGGGAGGGAGCACACAGGTCTCTTGATAAAGACTCCCCCGAATTTAGGAGAAACCGGAGACCAGCTGAGCTGCTGAATCTGAGATGCAGAAGACCAGCAGATGTTCGTGGAAAAGGTGCTGTGTGGCCTTCCTGGTGCCCCCCCACTTGTTTCTGGAAGCCCCTTTCAGGACTGTCACCTTTTTCATCAGGTTCCCCAGGGATTCCTGAATCCATGGAGCAGACCCCAGGATTACCCCCTCCCCCCCTTCTCAACAGCTCCTGTTAATTCTGTAGTAAAACAGCCCAAACTCTGTGATATGAATAAATTATGTACATTACTTTGTCTTCTTGCAATATTATTGTGGGGGTTGCATAGTTAAGCAGGGGGTTATTTTGTGTGTGTGGCTTATGCTTAACAAGCTATCCATTGAAAGGTGTGGGGGGGGTGGGGTTTAGACAAGAATCCTGGCCGTCTTTTGTGAGATTTCACATGGCACAGGCTGGTACATTTTAATCTCCTCTCCAGGGACCAAAGAACAAAACCCAAGATTACATCTTGGAATAAATTGATGTGTTTTTTTTTACACTAGTAACAAATTATTTGTGCAAACGTTTATAGGAAGTTAGTTATACAATTAGCCACACTGATATATTTATAGAAAAATCCAGAGCAAGAGAGAAGAAGGTGAGATACTCTTCCTAATTTGTAAAGGAGTTTAGGAGCATCTGCTTCTTTTGAGAGAGAGAGAGAGAGAGAGAATGAACGAATGAGAGAGAGAAAAGAGGAAGGAAGGAAGGAAGGAAGGAAGGAAGGAAGGAAGGAAGGAAGGAAGGAAGGAAGGAAGGAAGAAGAAATCTGAAGCCTTCATGCATTGCAGTATCTTTTCCAGGGCTTCCTGCCTTGACCGTCTGCCAAAGGGATTCTCCTGCTAACAAGCATCCCAGGATATGCCAGGAAGGAAAAACAACGTGTTAGAGAATCTGCTTTTTGAAACTTAAGAACCGTAGAAAAGGACTCCTTGGCCAATTCATTGTAGAAAAGAAAGTGATTCCCATCCAGTCCTGGATTCGTTCTGGCCTTTTTCCTATTGGTTTTTATTTATGAAAATCAGTGTAAAAAAAAATGGGGGGGAGGAATTCAAAAGTAGTGCAATAAAGATTTTTGTTGAACTTTTCATTTCCACTCCATTTGGGGCATAAAGCTTAGGATCTCAGGCCATTCCTGGAAGGTTGGTGTCAGCACCTCTTCATTGAATAATTAGGAAAGAAAACCACAAGAGTCCATTGATAGAAATCAAGTGTACTTTTACTAATTATAAATGATTAGAAGCGTAGCAAAGCGAAGACTGATTATTTAGGCGCGAAAGCAAGTGATATATAAAATAACCCATTCCCCACCCCTTGGCATCAAAGTTGCAGTCCAATTCTCCCAAGTGTCAGGTGTGAGATAACTTCGAAAGGCATAACCAAGATGGAATGTTGGTGCTGTTGGCCTTGGCGGGAAC